AGTTATAATCGGCAAAAATTACGCCAATTAGTATAACAAAAATCACGTGGTCCAATACTTTTGACCGGGGAGTGTACTTATCATGCTAATCAATCAACATATCATGTTATGCCTATGCTTGTTATATTATTCTTCCGGACAAAGATTATGAAAATATCCTTCATATATTGAACATTTCCTTTTGTTAGTAGATTAGATTATAATTATCTCTTTTATGAATTCGGGTCGATGAACAATTTTTATTTTATTTTTAATCTATTATTAATTTGTATATTTTTAGTTAATTTAAATTTTTTTTATCAAAAATAGCTTTCGCTTGTTGAAAATTTCTGAAGTCACAAATTCTTTTATTGGTGCGCGAATAATTACAATAATTCACATATCGGTCGTGTTTTCGAAATTTCAACCATCTAGATCTTTAATTGTATTACAATATGTAAATATCATGCTACTTTTCCCTAAATTTTAAATAAAATATTAAATCTTTTCCTTAAATTAAATAATAAATAATGTTTTTTGATCGTCAAGACATTAATTTTACTTCCACATAGTAAGCAAGAAACAAGTATCTTTCTGAATGAAGAAATCGATTCATATCTCAAATTGTATATTGATAATTGATGATTGATTCTGTTCATGCATAATATTTCTCATAGAGCTGGTCAACTCCGGTTTAATCATAGGAGGCAAGAATTAAAGATTTTTTCCATACGATTTTCTTAAATGCGATCCTAGTATATAAATAATCCTCTTTTGCTGGAAATCTACCGTGAGAGTGCCAGTACGCGCATTTGCTGGGATAGTTAAACAATCCTTTGTGCTTAGAATCGGATAATATCTGCTCAAAGAATTGTTAACGCTTTGAGATTAAAGTTTCCAGGCTTGACTATCAAGCCCGGAAAGTTCACCAACCGTTATCCCAGAGGCGTAGCGTCTTAGTTTCGCGTTAAGATCATGAGCGCGTTTTTGGGACCTACCCGTTTGATCGTCTACGTGAATCTTCCGAAATCAGAGGCCATTTCAGATCACTACGACAAAAGCTCCTTCAAACCAACGCGATATAATGCTCATTATAGGGATTTCTCTAACAATGTCTATGACGAGAACTTTCACTAACTTGTTAATTTGGTTTCTAGGGGATGTGGAATCTATTTCGCGGTTTATTTCAAAGAAGTACGTGAAGGGATATAAAGAAAAGCACAGCAAGCAGAGAATTATAATTCCGACACACACACACACACACACACACGTTAGTTTCTCTTTAGTTAAATACTAATACTGTAAGTTGAACTTTAATAAACGATATTATAGTTCGTGCTTCTTAAATAAATTTATCTATATAAAGTGAAATTTTTCTGCAATCTTACCCGGTTCTTTTTTTAATTTGTAA